GACTATCCTGAAATGAGTTCAGACCAATCAGCACGTTGGCAACCGCATTAGGATTGTCCCTACTGTAAATGTGGCACAAAGTCAGCAACCATCCGATTGTTTTTCTGTATGACTTATGTAAAATGTGCAATATATTATTGGGCAATATGTCGCAATCAGGTGAAACCCATAATGTGCCGCAATGGAGAATACATATAAAAGGGTTCCCTATAGAGACAGAAATCCCAGCAAAAACTTATGGCCCAAAGACATCGTGATCCGTCCAGAAAGCTGTTGAGAACGACGGAATCGGGGCAAACTGGAATTATCGCGCTTAGGGAAAATCATGGTATCAGACAGTTTAATACAGCAAAATTCATCCATAAACTGGATCTGCGCGCGGGTCGCGATAGTCGAGGACAATCATTTTCAATGATTTTCAGAACCGAAACATTGGATTAACCAAGGATTAACCTGTAAGGGGATGAGCGGATCGGTGGGTAAAGATCACAATTCATTGGGAATTAGTTCACGCACCCTCTTGTTCATTCGAAACTGAGTAGCGTGGACCGAGTTCGGATACCCTTTTTAAGGACGTATAATACTATAGATTTTAGCTTCCATACATGAAATAAGTGGCATGGTCCATCAAAAACATGTTTTCATGTAAACATCGAGACAAAAATCTTGCACAAAAATACTCACGTTTTCCGGGACTTTGGTCAAACACGACTCCACGAAATCTCGGAACTGACGGCTAAAATCACCGGTGAGCTGGGGAGGCGGGTTGTGCGGTATGAAAAGCAAGGCACGGATTGGATGCAAATCGGAATTGGGAGGTTCGCCCTTGGCCAACTCAATTGCCGTAATACCGGTTGACCAGACATCCACCTGAAATAAAAAATCCACATTGACAAAGTATTGCAAACGGGTTCAGCGAGCTTCGTAATTTCCTTACAAATGTTTCATCACTAGCCGAGGTGACATTTTAGTGCTTGGAAAGTGACACATTTTTTGTTACTATTAGGGTACTGTGGGCAGTATTGTAGTTCATCATCATCATCGCACAGCGAAATACAGTGAGGAGAATTTCACTAATCGCTGCCAAACTCGCAATGCATACAAGGTTAGTGGTTATATGTAAGTTGGACGGGGATTGAACCCATTTTAAGGGAGGGGGAAGAAGGTGAATCTTTATGGTCAACACAGAATACACAATCGGACTCTGCATACATACCGTTTCAAGCATTCTGACCTGATAAGAAACGATAACAAGAACGCCACTGCTGTCGTTTCGCTGTCATTTCCTTCAACCAACCAGTTGTGGAGTCTTTCGGACCCTAACCTGGAAAGCGAGAGACACCTACTCTACCTGATGGCTCTGTGCATTTCTTCATACCCCTTCTCCACATCATCTATTGACCTCCACGCGGTTTCCTCCAGCCCGGATTAGCTACAGCAAATAAGGCGCGGTGCGGCATACGACAGCTGGGCACACGCAATATGTGCCCTACCCAGCGAAGTCCACTAATCTGAATTCGGTGTGCTAGCAGGTTTATACCTGATAGACTCCCAAACACGCGACGACTTACCTCCACGTTTCTAATCCGTTCGCTCCATCTAATGTGGGCTAAACTAGGTAAACAACGATAATCGAAAACTTCCAGTCGACGGATATTTCTACTCGCAAATTCAGGGTCTCATAACCATAAAGCAGGACTGAACGAACGCTAGCACAA